TTCCGTTTGCTGATAAGTTCCCAAGTGTGCGCTGATATCCAATCCGTGCGCCTGCGTTGTCGGGTGCCAAGCATCTCCTCCGCGGTGCTCCTCAGTATACTGCATGTTTGTTCCCATGAGTGATTCAACGGTTGTGTTGTCATCTGTTCACGCAACGTTGTGGCCATTCTGGTGGATAGGTTGGAGTCACTCAGCCGTTGTACGTTAATGGGAGGCGGTCATCTTGTGGTCCTGTTGACAGTGTTGCTATTTCGTCTGAGCTTGATTAAAAGCTCTCCGATTATCAGCTCTTGGTCACTGTCGATAGACGCACTTCTCCTATTTCTAACATCCATTATCGAGCGTCTCCATTCCTACTTATGCAGATGTGGACGATTTGGTTGCGAGTATGCCCATTCGGAGAGGTCCATGTGTATTTATGGATTTCCTTGTGGGGGAATACAGTGCCACCAATAACCAGTTGGAAGGTCTGACATAAGTCGATTAGCCTGTCACCATTATTGCTGCGTGTGCCAACACCATGTCGGCCCATGGTTGTTTCCAATCCGTTGTTGTTGGGTCCGATTTTCGCATTGAAGTCTCCCATAAGAATTTTTATGTCACCTCTTTCGATCCTACACTCCTGCCCAAAATTATACGACACCTTTAAATTTTTTGTTTCGGCGCTCGTAGCAGAATGCGAAATCGAAAACGATCAAAACTAAGTATGAGGGATGATAGCACAATGTTTAATGCACAAAATGAGATATTTTTGACTTTTTTTGCATCTCCCGTTTTCGAGTAACGATAAAAAAAGGACACACGCTTCAATTTTAGCTACGCTGCACGTGTATCAAAATTATACGACACATTTCAATATTTATAGATACAATGAATATTTTATTTTATTTGTGATTATTTATGAAAGATTAATAGTTAATAACACATCCTTGAGCTTTTCCAACCTCAAACATTCTTTTAGTCATTGTTTTTATTAATGTTTTTAGCATATTTTGGTCTAGGAGGGCCCATTGTGCCAAAATTTCCTGTTTAAGACTATTGACGGTGTCAAATTTAGTGTTGTTGGCGTAAACTCGTCTGGCTAGAATACCCCATAGGTTCTCTATAGGATTAAGGTCCGGAGAGCAAGCTGTCCAATCCAAAACCTTCACGGAATCCTCGTTTAAAAATCGTTGGGTTTCTTTGCTTTTATGGATTGATGCATTATCCTGCATAAAAACATATTTTCTTTCCTCATTTTGGTTAAAAATGGCAGAAAACGATCCTCTAATACTTTTTTGTAGTCTGTGCTATTCATGCGAGAGCTCGTAAAGCACAGAGTAAGCGTTCCAGATGCATGAAAGGCTTCCCAAACCATTGCGGATCCACCTCCGAAATTGCGTCTTGAAAACATGAGGGGATCCTTACGCAAATCTAGCCAATAATGACGAAACCCATCTGGGCCATCAAGATTAAATTTTTTCTCATCAGAAAAAATTATCTAAGTGAGAAATATTGATTAAATTCGTATAAACAAACTGGAGTTGAAATTCCATACCGAGGCCCAGTTGATTTTCAAATTTTTTTCAGCAAACTGAAGGCGTGCTTCTTTGTGTTGGGGCTTTAGGAATGGAGCCTTTTTTAAAACTCCCCTTACAACAAATTCCGTGGCTTGCAAAATTCGCCAGATAGTCATCCGAGGTACGGGAAGACTGCAAGACGCTGCAATTGAGGCGCATGATAGAAAAGAATTGCTTACTTTTTTCAATATGCTTCGTTTAACACGATCGGAAAGCTTGGGTTTTCTGTCGGAGCTACGTTTAAGACCATGTCCATCCGCGCCGTTTAAAAATTAAATGATAACACAGCGTGTTTGACCCATAATCCGCGATATTTTGGTAATATTGAATCCGGCATCGTTGTAAGCTCTTATTCGTCCCTTTTCTTCTTCTCTTAATAAGCAACCATGCGGCATTTTATTAAAAACTAATTAAATACTTAGCAGAACTTTAAAAAAAAAAATTGGCACCAAATCTTTCGCGCCAACAGCAAAAATCTAAATGTGTCGTATAATTTTGATACACGTGCAGCGTAGCTAAAATTGAAGCGTGTGTCCTTTTTTTATCGTTACTCGAAAACGGGAGATGCAAAAAAAGTCAAAAATATCTCATTTTGTGCATTAAACATTGTGCTATCATCCCTCATACTTAGTTTTGATCGTTTTCGATTTCGCATTCTGCTACGAGCGCCGAAACAAAAAATTTAAAGGTGTCGTATAATTTTGGGCAGGAGTGTAGTAAGTGAGGATGTGAGGGCGTTGTAGAAGTCGTCTTTGATGTCATCGCTGGCGTCTTCTGTTGGGCATAGCACTGCACGATGGTGATGTGTCTAGCATTGCATCGGAATCTGGCAATGATGATTCTGTCGGATACTGGGCTCCAGGAAATTAGTGTCTGTTTGTACTGTTTGGACACATATATCCCGACTCCGCTCCTGCCTCCATCATTGGTCCCGCTGTGCATCACTAGATTGCCGCTTGATGTTGTTGTTGTCCCGTTGCCTCTCCATCTCATCTCACTGATGCCTGCGATTGCGATCTGCATTTTCTCCATTTCTCCTTCAAACTGCGCCAGTCTGGTTGGTTCCATTAAAGTCCTCACGTTCCATTGTCCAATTCGTGTCCGTTTCGATATGCGAATGGTCGTCAACGGGTTGGGGGGGTGGTTGGTTTATTCTCTTCTTGTATTAGTTTCGTTAATCAATTGTTATTCGGTTCATCTGGTAATTAGCCAGGTGCAACCTATCCCAGAGGTGGGGCTGCCACCTATCGATATCTGGGAATACCGTTTTTCGACCTCACATGTTTACTAGCATCGGAAAAGAAACCACTAAGCATAATGAAGCCGAAAAACTTTGGAGGACATGATTGCCATGAGTGGGTTTCGAACCCACGACCCAACGCTTAGCGTGCAGCTACACTACCTACTAAGCTATGGGCCCCCCCTGCCCTTTACGAGTGGTATTATGTGGAAGTTGTCCTTGCCAATAAGCTCTATAATTTTGTTGACAAGAACGTTGGAACTTTTTTATCGTATGTAAATTGGCGGGGGCTTAGGCTTCCTTTTTTCGACTTCTGATTCGGCGTCATCGTCATAGTCTGCCAAGATTTTAAAACGGTTCGAGTTCGTGGGCGTTTCTATTGCGGCTATGTTAGCATTGCCACGGGTTATTTTGCGTTGAGAGTTTAGAGGGCTCAGCTTCCTTTTGATTTGGATGTAGCGATCCATACCAGTCTGCACAGCCGGCTTAATATTTTCTTTGTTTTTGTTCTCTTTTTCGGGCAGCACAGCGGCAGAAGTATCAATGTTTGCGCTGCTAGCTGATGACGTCGTTAAACGCGCTGTCGTTACAGAAGCGGTTGTTGTTGTTGTTACGGTTGACGTTGTCAAAGAGGTTGCGGTGCTAGTTACTGCGTTCTTTGGCTGCAAAGACATCGATGGTAGCGAGGGGGAGCAAGAACGCGCTCTCACGCTCTCTACGTTTAAGAATTCGGCCAAGTTTGGGGTAATTGACCGTGTTTGGGATGAGCTTGAATTACTTTCGGTTGCTTTGAAAGTAAAGTAAGCGTTGTTTTTTTGTACTGAGAGCCGTCTCTCATCTTGCTCACGTTAACGTCGTGCTAACGTCGTTTAGACTCATTGCAATCGAGGTTGATATTGTTCGAGTTTTAAATGTTATGTTTTATATTAATTAATTAATTAATCAATATAAACATTAGCGATTTCATCGCTGAAAGCGTCTTTTCGCGTTGTTGTTGATTTACGAAACCAGTCACTGCACTTTTTTGATATTATTGAATAGTTTTTTTTTTTTTTTTTTCCGACGACGATTCGCGAGAAGCTATGAGAAAAAAAAACTAAGGAATTATTATTTAAATTTAATATAAAAAACTGAAAAAATATAAGAACTTGTAAATACAATAAAGACATTATTACAAAACATTGACAACCGGTTTCAGGATCTTAATTCTAACTGCTCTTTTCGACTTAAATAATTTTAAACTTTCCTGTGATATTAGTAATTTAGATAGCATAATAATAATAATAATAATAATAATAATAATAATAATAATAATAATAAAAATAAAAATAAAAATAATAATAAAAATAATAATAATAATAATAAGTATAATTAATAATTTAAGATATGATTTTGGAATTCCGTTAGAAACAAGTTTTTTTTTTGGTTTCACATTCGAGAATGTAAATATCCCAAGCTAAAGAATAAAATTAATAAAATTTACTCCATGTTTGGAACTACTTATAATTGTGAAGTACCATTTTCAAGTATGATAAATATTTTATGTAACACAATCTCCGATATTCATTTAGCAGATTTATTGCGAATTAAAGAATTTAATGGAAAAATTAATTTAGACGATCTTTTGGATGTTGTCAAAGCTGAATAATTTTTATAACCTTGCAGAGGGTAATATAATTTTGGTCAAAAGTGTGCAACACAGTGAAGGAGACATCTCCGACTCTATAAAGTATATATATTCTTGATCAGGATCACCTCCTGAGTTGATATGAGCACGTCCGTCTGTCTGTTTCTACGCAAACTAGTCTCTCAGTTTTAAAGCTATCGTCTTGAAACATTGCACACACCCTTCTTTCCTTTGCACGCAGTATATAAGTCGGAACGGCCCGGATCGGCCGACTATATTTTATAGCTGCCATATAACTGATTGATCGGAAATGCTATAACTTTTGTGTTTTTAGATGCTAGAACTTTGGATGCTTAAATGCTGTGAAGATTTTGACAAAATAATATTTTGTAATAATACAAAATAATAAAAGCTGCCATATAACTGAACGATCGGAAATTGTATTTGGTATTTCTGAAGATAAAAATTTGGCATTTTTTTTTATGTATTATATTGTAATCAATTTGTTATATTATGATATTCTCATAAGGATCGACCAACTACACCGATGTTTGTGATAGAAATCCAGTTTTACCTGCAAGGGTATATCAACTTCGGCTCCGCCCGTAGTTAGCGTAGTCCTTTCTTGTTGATATGAAGTTGATCCAATACGGTAAATCTTTATTCAAATTTGTACATATGCTTACCACTATATATCCTGTGGCAACCTTCGACAAAAATAATTTACCCTGCAAAAAAAATTTAGTGGGTTCATACAGTGATGGGAAAAACAATGAAAAGCGAAATTACTATTTTATTTTAAGATTAAGTTAAGCTTAAGTTTGTTAAGTTATAATTATATGAACCCTACTCTGTCAAGGTGTATAACGGTACTAAGTAGAGCTGGCAAAAAATCGATGTTTGCCACTATCGAATTTAGCGACGTTTTTAAATAAAAAACGTCGATAGTATAGATTTTTCATAATAATTAAATAAATAATATTGTTATTGTTATTTATTAATATTTAAAAAATTTCCACAATTCCGATTTGCTCAATTTTTTTTGCTGTCTTCTTGATCGGAATCGTTCGCCATGTGGTTTTCTGCAAACACACCTACACATACACAACAGTAAATTTCCAATTCATAAACAAAAGCGTTGCCATCTTTGCAATCCAGCACCAACACCAAGCAACTATACCAATAATTTATAAATTAATTAGTGGTATAATAAGGGCCGATGCTAGAGCCTCGGGGGCCCTGGGGAACAAGTAAATTTGGGGCCCCCTATTACTTCCGTATACTACTTCAGGGGCCCTGGGGCACCGCCCCACCTGCCCCATGCTAGCTACGGCCCTGGGTATAATTTCCTAATATATTATGTATCAAGAAAAAAAAAAAAAAGCCATCGATAGTGCAAAAAAAAACTCAATGTTTTCAAAAATGGTTCACACAATCGACAGTATCGATAGCACTCCGATGTTTTGCCAGCACTAGTACTAAGCAACAATGTCCTTTTTGAATGAAAATGGGTTGCGAAGAGCCGAATTTCTATTATAAAAAATAAAAACCACCGAATCCCATGCGGTAAAAATTTCCGATGATTCATCTCATATATTTTAATCTAATCCAAATTACGATTTAATCCAAATTACGGGCGATTTTAACATACCCCCTTATTTCCTGTATTCCATGTCAAATGTAAAAGAATTCATTTTTCTCCGGTATGAATTCCTGAAGACTTACTTCATCCTACACTTTTAGCTTCCGTGTTAATCGATGTGCCTCATAATCATGCCAGAACAGGAAATCGAGAGCTTACAAAAAGTTTCTTAAATCTGGATCCTTAATTCATCAGTCAAACTCTGTATATATTCGTAACCAGTTTTTCATTTTAAACCAGATTTAAACCATAAATACATTTTCTGCAGGGCAGAAAATTCCCAACTTTGTGTGATAGGTTTTGGGCACCACTGTTCTAAACAATTAATTTTATAAACGCTATATCATAAATTGTAAGGTAAACTTTCGTTATGATCCCACTATGACTACTTCCACTACCACTTTCTAAATATCAATTTCATAAATCCAATCTTTTTCCTACTTCCCTATCATATGTAAATATCTCAGATTCTTCTGAGATAGGTATTGCTAATCTCTTTGCGTCATTTTTTTCAATAAACTTATTTGTCCGATTCATATGATCTCAATTCTTTTTATCTCTATAAACTATTTTACATAAACAACATTTATTAGTCAAAATTTCAATTACATGATCAAGGATTTTCAAGGCTGTCTCAACAATGGATAACTTGTTTTCTGCTGGTCTTGACAATGTCCCCAGCGGCATTCTTAGGCACTACTCAGATATCCTTTGCTATCCTTTTACTATCTTATTCAATATATACTTAGAGCTTGCACATCTTTCCAAAAGATGAAAGGAATCTTTTTATATTCCGCTTCATACGAAGGGTTCCAAAGCACTTTTATGCACCAATTAGTGTACCAGCTAACATTTCTGCATTCATCACAAAGATGGGAGTCCAAACCGAACCAACACCGAAAAATTTAAAATATATTTTTTAAGTATATACTTTTAATATGTTTTGAGATGAGATGATATTGAGAGTGAGATAAGTGAGTGAGATGATATGGTAGAGGACCAATGTTGTTTGAAAATAAGACCCTAAGAGGGTCGTATTGTGCATACGAACTACAATGGCTAAGGAATAAAGGTATAAAGTTTCTAGTCCTTCTATTAAGAATATTGCAATTTAAGCGTGTTAGTAAAGGCTGACTATCTACATCACCATTAATAAGGCTTTGTAGAAAAACTGCAACCAGTATTGCTACTACATGTGCTTATTCTTGGACATGTGGATTCAAAATTACTTCTCGAAAAACTAAAAATCCTTCGCTCACCAACTTGTAGATCTAATTTTGCCGAAAGCGGTCCGTTTCGTAATGCTTGTCAAAAATTACAACATATTTACCCAATTATTATCCTTAATTTATCCTTACCTTCAATTATAATTACCGTTAGATTTGAGTTGATTTTATTATTTTACGAAGGTCTTTTTAATGTGCTATTTTGGTTACCTTTTTTTATTCGAGCTAAGCTACTGTGCTATATTATCAGTAATGATATTGTCGAACGATCGAAATGAAATTCTGTGTAACGAATCAATTGACTGATTGTATCATTGTATACTTATTAAAATAACATATAATTTATGTCATTTACGATCGTTGTTATATGACAGCTGTAAGATAAAGTCGGCCGATTCTTTTAAAAGTAGGTGGGATATGTCACCAAAAAAGTGTGCATTGTTCAATAACCTTAAAATAATTGTTTTTTAAAAGTTTAATTATTATTTATTGGTTTTTGTATTGACAATATAATTAATTAAAAAAATTCAAGTTATATTCTGAAGTATGTTAAGAAATGATTTTATCGCATTCTATTTCATACATACATAAATATTTGGTAATATATGCGTAAAGCCAAGCCAATTTAAATAGTATTCCTCTACTATACAAAGTATGTTGATAAACTATTAGGACAATAGATGAAGTGTACTTATTTTTGTCGCCTTCCTTCATGCAAGTCCGACCATTACCACGGTCCCACCTAATCTAGTATTACTTTGGGCGGCAGTTCACGGGTCCACGCGACGAACCGCAACTTCTGTGTGGATTTTATCTGAATGAGTGATATACCAAATGCGGAATTGCTTTCATTAGTTCATTAAGTGAAAGTGAAATGGTTTGGATTCACAAATGTGGAGCTACTATGGTAAGGACATTGAAGTCTTTAGTCAAAAAAATGTTCTTCAAAAACATTTTGTTCTTGAATTTCGTTAAAGTTCTAAACAAAATTTTAGTTTTTTGAAAAAGTAAAGAAATTTTTCTCCTTTTTCCAAATGAAAATTTTTATACCCTTGCAGAGGGTATTATAATTTTGTCCAAAAGTGTGCAACGCAGTGAAGGAGACATCTCCGACCGTATAAAGTATATATATTCTTGATCAGGATCACCTCCTGAGTTGATATGAGCATGTCCGTCTGTCCGTCTGTCCGTCTGTCTGTCCGTCTGTCTGTCTGTCCGTTTCTACGCGAACTAGTCTCTCAGTTTTGAAGCTATCGTCTATCGTAACTTTGCACACACCCTTCTTTCCTTTGCACGCAGTATATAAGTCGGAACGACCGGGATCGGCCGACTATATCCTATAGCTGCCATATAACTGATTGATCGGAAATGGTATAACTTTGGTGATTTTAAAGTTAGAGAGTTCAAATTTGACATGAGTGCTATTTTTGGCAAAACATTACGACATGCCAAATTTCATAAGGATCGGCCGACTATATCCTATAGCTGCCATATAACTGAACGATCGGAAATGACCCAACTTTCGTGTTTTTGAAGATAGAAAGCTGAAATTTAATACAATATATACAATACAATAATAATATTCTATTTTTGGTCAGTTGATCCAACCTAACAAATTTCATAAGGATCGGCCGACTATATCTTATAGCTGCCATATAACTGAACGATCGGAAATGACCCAACTTTCGTGTTTTTGAAGATAGAAAGCTGGAACTTGGTACAGATTCTATTCTATATTCCGGTTTTAACTGCAAGGGTATATCAACATCGGCTCCGCCCGAAGTTAGCTTTCCTTTCTTGTTTCTGTTTGTTTTCATATATTCTTCGGTTTGTTTGCTTGTTTCCGCACATTATTTTGATACCCAAAAAATCTGAAAAAATAAGTTTGTTTAACTTTTAAACATTTTTTTAATTTGTACAATTAACGTAAAAAATAAACAAAATAAAATAAATAAATAAAAAATAACCACAGTTGTTCCATTTTTCTTAAGGGGGACATCTGAGTAACAGGCGAAAAAAAGCGGATTTTCTGGAATTTTTTTGGCCCAATGGAAAAGCCAATCGAAAATTTGTAAATAAGGTTTTACTATATTATATTTAAAGTACAAAATAATTTTTTTTTTAATAAATCGAAAACAAAATGGCGGCTATGTAGCCTTCATTCGTAGGCTTTTTTTTAAAGGGGTTCCATGGCCGGAAAGCTAACGTCCTTTATTTTTGATGTAGAAGAAAAAATCAAGTTTGGTTAGTTTTTATACATCAACAGCTATCGACACACGTAGGATTTTTGCGATATATTAATTTGTTGGTGAAAATTTAGGTGAGTGATTGAAAAAAAAATTAACATTTTTACGAAAAAAAACGTCACAAAATTGTTGATAAAAAAAAAGTAAGCAATATAAATAAATTTCAATATACTGTCGAAATCTCAGATCGAGTTATTCGAGTTATGTTTCCGGCCGTCTCAAAAAAAACGGTTTCGATAAAAACGCGTTTAATGTTTTAAGTACTGTGGGATATACCTGTGAGGCATCGCCGTAGAATGGAAAATTTCGACACTTAGACAATTTTGCCGGACTCTATCTTCTTTGACTCTATGTTATTTTTAAGAACCTAAAGAATTTTTTAAGCGAAAAAAAAAATTTTCCATTTTTTCAAAACTCTACTCAGATGTCCCTCCTTAAGCGAATGGTCTTTTTTTCTGCATTGCGTTTTCCTAAAACTTTTGTTGGAAACAGGTGCAGTGCGGTAATCTTACAATTTAGCTGTACGAAAGTACATTTTTAAACTTCTGCCAAAATTCTCCCAAATAATTTTTTTGAATACTTTATTAAATGTACTTAATTATTATATAAACTAG